ACAATGATTTCATGCAATGGTTGTATAGTAATATAATGATATAAGTAAAGTGCACCATTCACCAAAAAAAAAAAAAGTAAAGCACGCCTAAAAAAATCCAACACAAAAGGTTGTTATGATGCAAACAAAAAAACAAAAAACTCAAATATATCGTCTCAACCTCGAGATGTATGAATATGGATAAAAGAAAAAAATATTTACAACCCTTGAAAATAGAGCATCTTGTAATGCATTATCTGGACAATCCATTTTCAAAAAAAATAAAAAGAAATATTTATAAAATTACTATATCTGCATCATTTTTGGAGCTTCAAATTTGATAATCAGAAGTGACAACGGATTTCCACGCCAACACAATTCTTTCCAGTACCGAAACTCCATCTTTCAACATAGTTTTGAGATGTGCCTTGAATAGTATAGAGTTGATACCAAAATATATATATATATATTGAGGGAATGATTGCATGGGACTGCAAAACACTTCACAGTTGCTCAAACACAAACAGTGATTCAAAATTCTTTTATCCCGGGCAAAAAATGCTCTGAACCTAAGTGTTTCCTTCTTATAAATAACCATTCATTCCATATAAAAGGTATACATCAAGTTGTCCCATAAGAGCATAGACAAATGATCTAACTTAAGATTACACAGCTTTTTCTATCTTTTTAATTTTCTTTTTCCTTTTATTTTTCCTCCTCCAGTTGTGATGGAAAGAAAGAGCCACTCAACATTAATTTTGTTAAAAAGGTTTAAAACTGTCTTACAAGTAAGGGCCTTCTCAATCCCATTCATGTAACCCTAAGCAAGACGTTGGAAAGATAAGAACCCTCAGGGTATGATGGATCAACAGGGTGATCGGAGGCCGCACCAGCTTGACGTAAAACTGTGATCTTTCTACCCGCCATCGAAGCTGCTCCCTGAAACAAGAATGGAGATCAACATTCACTTCTTCTCTTTTCTTTTCTTTTTTCCTTTGTCTTTATGAGTGCGCAATGTTGTCAATTTCTCATGACTCATGTTGTTTCTTTCCTTGGTGTAATGACGCATGACAAAATAATTCCAGTTTTAAATTTTTGTTTAATTTCAAGATATGTATATTTTAATTTTAATTTTATAATTTATTTTTAAGCTTTCTAACCTTTTTTCGAGATTCTAGGATTTTTTTCTATATTTTTCTATTCACTGTTCACTGTTATTGTTCATCTTACTGTTTACGGGTATTGTTCAGCCATTACCGTTCATAGGGGTATTTCTTACAAATTTGTATCATCGCATTACTGTTTATAGGGATATTTCTAAAAAATTGTATCATTTAAGGGTATTTTAGAATCTTAAATGTTTATTTGGGTCTCAAATAAATTTTATAATTTTATAGACTTGTAAAAGGTGGATACCAAATTTTTGGAGGCTTATGTTACTTGAAATAAAATTTATTCTATGAAAGAAAAAAATTCTCCTATTAGTTTGATATACTGCCATATTTTTTCCCATTATTGCTGATTTTACTTGCTCGAGATTCAGGAAAAAGGTAGAATTAATCTCACCTTTTTTTCTTATATCAAATGGTATCAAAGCATATGGTTCGAAGACGGTTAGAGATTGCGATGGCTCCTCATGGAGGACTTAGCTGTACGGATACCGATTTGATCCAACTGTACAAGGAAATCAACAACTTGACAGAGAGGGATATAGAGTTATTGCTGCGCAAACGAGCCTAGCAACAACATACCTTTAACAAAGAGGAATTTACGGGGATAGATCCAAATCGTGAGGGTTTTTATGGAGAATTGCGTGAATCAACGTGACACACAATGATGGCAGCTGTGAGTCGGATGTTTTGTTTTTCATAACCTATGCATGCGCTCCGCAGTGGGAGTATCATATTCGGGAGAGTAGATCGTGAGATTTCAACATTGAAATTGACCTACATAAGTTTGATGAATAACAAGTTGAAGGTGACGAATAAATAAGTTTGGATCTTCAATTGGAATATCATTCATTGATATCATGGGTGACCCCATCTTTGATAAAAGTCGTATGTTTGATGAAAAACAAGATGAAAGAACAGAAATTAACCTTGAGGCAGCACAGATATCAAACTTTCTCATCAATAGAAACATGGAGAAGAAAGATATTGACCCAAACCTAGAGGAGATCCAACCTATGGAGATTTTACGGGCAGAAAGAAATAAGGTGATGACGGAGGCACAACACAAGAAGGCTAGAAATACAACCTATGAGGATTGAGAATATGATTAAGAATTACAAAAAACGCATGGAGGGTGATAATGAAGATCCATCTTATTTCACTGATAAAAAGATTAATAATAAACACATCCTATGGAGGGGTTGTGTATCATGGAAACGTTTGAATATTATTCTAAAAACCGTGACAAGGCATTCAAGGTTGAAGAAATCAATGTATCTAGAGATGGAAAAGTTTGAATATTGTTCTAAAAACCGTGAACGCATTCAAGGTTGAAGAAATCAACGCAAAATTCATCTTAGCTCATTTCAAAACTCGAGGATGAGTTTTTTTCAACCAATGGAGAATGATGCAGGACAAAATTATTCTAGTTTTAAATTTTTGTTTAATCAAGAGATGTATATTGTAATTTTAGTTTTAGGATTTATTTTTAAGGTTTTTATGTTTCTTAGGGATTCTAGGGTTTTCTATATTTTTTATTTTTTATTTATTATGCACTAGTATTGTTCATGGTACTGTTCGTGTGTTATTTGTTTTTGATAATGTTAACATTGTATTGCTGTATGAAAAATATTGTTTATGTGTTACTGTTCACATGGGTATTTATGAAATTTTTGCAGGGGTATTTTAGATTCTTAAACGTTCACTTGGGTCCAAGTTAATTTTAAGATTTTATAGGCTTATAAAAGAGTGGACGTCAAATTTTGGGCGGCTTATATTACTTGGAATGAAATTTATTTTATGAAAGAAGCTTCTCTTGGCTTGATATGCAGCCATGTTTTTCCTCCATTATTGCTTAGCCATGTGTTTTCTCCATTATTGCTTGGTTGAGATTCGAGAGCCATGTGTTTCCTCCATTATTGCTTGGTTGAGATTCGAGAGAAAGGTGGATTTAGCCTCTCATCTATCCTTTTCGCATAATGTAAGTACATCTACTGTTTGTTCCCACTAGCAGATAGTTATGGACTAAAGGTATATGGTACTCCAAACACATCTACTGTTTGTTCCTACTAGCAGATAATTGCAGATTAACTGCCCATGGGTGGGTCCCACTCGTCCATCAGTATGAATGGATGGCAGGTGTAACCTTGACATAATGCAAATCAGAGCCCATCAGACTACAGTATGCTTTCCTCATTTCCCATTCTTTTTTGGTAAGGAGAATGAAATCATAGCCAGCAGTGAATATGCGTATAGTAGTGACCACTAGAAGGCCTTACTCCCAAAAGTTAAACCCTAAAAAATCCAAAGAAAGAATCCATTATCATTATGATTGTTTTCTTGGCAATTTAAATGACTGATTAACAGTAAGCACTTACTCATGATCAGATCAAAATTAAAGCACTTGTTAATGGAAACCAGACAAGTGGGTGCCAATAAATAGCAATCTTTGAATATGAATTGGCTGGGTATAGCCATGTTCTGAAACGGGGGACAGCCGAAAAGAATAATCTAGCTTTTAAGCCCAATATTTTTTTTTAATTATATTATATTTCCAGAGGAATAATTGCTCATCTCTCTAGATAAATTCCTGAAAGTTCTTAGAAGCTTAAAATTTACCATGAAGAATGCCACACAGCCACAGATATCAAGAGGTCATCCTATTGTGATGCTCCCCACTTTTTCAGATCATGCCATTTCAGCCCAATTTCCCACAAGAGAGTAAGGATGAGAAACTCATTTTGCAGCCCCTATGGAAGAAACGTGAGCGAGCCAAAGTTGGACTCACTCAAATTACACAAGCTTGTTTAAAAACTTGCAATGGCCATCTCAGGCAAGTTTTTTTTATTTATTCAGGGGAGCCTAAAAGTCAAGGTATCCCTAAAAAAGCATCTTATGCATACTGTGGAAAGCTTGAAATTAAAATGTTTAGAGTTCCAACTCTAAAAATCCATTTGGGTAGGCGGGTGTGTTCATTCTAATCCTCTTTTACATCCCCCTTGGAGGAAGACTCTAACCATTTACAGCCACCAAAATGCATTGCTTCCCTGAATCTTAAATCCAATTTTTTGATTTTTCAAAATTCGAATCGTGTATTTTTTATTAAAAGATACTCCCATGAAGGCTATTGTAATTATTAAAGTTCCTTACACACAGTGCACCCATACACAAACAAAATCATTCTTAGCAATAATCAAATCCATTAGCTGCCAACAAGCCAGCATATAACCTATAACAAAAACTGAAAGTATGAAAAATTAAGAAATGGATATTCTAATATAAATAAAATAGTGCAATTCATTTATACTTGCCTGAAGAGTGCGTAGGAAAGTTCCACTCTGTGTCATAGCTCCTGAACAAGAACATGTCATAAGAAGACCACCTTTCTTTGTTATTCGCAATGCCAATGAATTCAAATTCCGGTACATGCCAGTAGCACGTTGGAGAACCTGAAATTTGCATTTTTTCCTTTCACGATTTTTCTAATAAAGGACTATCAACTCGATGAGAAAAGAAAGAGAAGTAATTTATGCTTCATGAACAGATCAAAATAACACTTTCAGTATTTACCATTGTACTTCGATCCACAATATTTCACAACATTTACAAAAGTTAAAACACTTCTATTCATTCTTTCTTAGAAATCCTCATCAATATATGCCCTGGTTGCAAATGAGTTTTTTGGATTGGTAACACTAACACTAGTTGGAGTGTATGCAACATCGATAAAAATAGAAGAGCATCGGTGTATTCATAACAATGTATTAGTATACCACTATACCTTACGACAGGGTGCCAGCTTTGGTGGATCCAATATAACGAGATCCCAAGCTTCCCCTCTAGAAGCAGCATTTTTCATGAACTCAGATGCATCTTCCTTTAAAAATGAAATTCTGTTCGGATCCATATTATTTAGAAGGACATTTTCTTTGGCAATCTCCAAGGCAGAGGATGACGAATCAATGCCTGACAAAGTAAAATCCATCAGCACAAGTCATCTATGATACTTCCACTCTAGCCCAACTAAGATATCCATGTCAAATTTGAACATTCAATGCAATAGAAATCAATCCCTAAGTGTACTCTGAGAGGAAGAAGTTAAAAGGCACTAATATCATTCAATGCATCAGCATGATATCCAACGAACCATTCTCCAATTAAACATGAATGGTATATGGTACACAGCCAAGTCCTCCACCCTTCATTTCCAACGATAGACATTAGAGATTAACTGTGTCCAATGTCATTAGAAAATATGATGATCAGAAGAAAAGAACCATTGTCATCAGAAAATATGATGATCAGTATTATTGTCATCCGAAAAATGACGATCGTAATGGAAGGTTTGCACTGGCTGTGCACCACAACACCATATATATGCACTACATGGTACACTTTCTCAATGCGAATATGACCATTCGTCCAAAAAAATACTAGAAGATGAAAACTCAATGAAAGTGATTTATTAGGTGAGATATAGCAATAAATGTTTAAAAAAACATACCAGTAACCTCAATAGCACCTCCATGTGCTGCATTTAAACTAAATCCACCAGTGTAGCAGCAAACATCTAATACTTTACTACCCTTGGAAATCGAAGATATGAAGAGACGACTTTCTCTCTGATCTGCATAAAACCCTGTTTTTTGTCCATCAAGTAAGACCTGATAATGAATCCCATTCTCCAGAACCTAGCAAAATTGCCGAAAGTAAGTTGATACACATTATCCAAACCAAGTACTCAATAGTATTTTCTATAATTAAAACAAATAATCAATAATTTAGACAAAATGGTATAATGGAAACCATATAAAAGCTGCAACACCAGCCATCAGTAGCTAGCAATATCATTTTCATTACATTAGGAAGTTGGGAATGAACTCAGACATTGAAAGGGCATATATCCTCCAGCAATAGTGCTCAATTTATTCAGCTGGCTGGACTACACTTCAAAGCTTATGCAATGATTTTTTTTTTTTTGGGTAATTCAGTGGGGATGACGAGCCCTTACCCGATTTTTGAAATCGTTAGTGGTTTTTGAATGCGTTAGGTGAGAATGGAAGCCTAGACCTTAGCTGGGGCACAAGCCTAGACCTTAGCTGGGGCACAAGCCTGGTTCTTAGCTTATGCAATGATTGCAATGCATATAAGACATATGAAAAAAACAAAGTAGTTCAAAGTAGAGAATGCCAGATTATTCACTTATAAGACCAAAAGATTATTTCATATTCAGAGTACCAACAAAATTACATTTCCACCGCACCCTTCTAGAAATCTACAAGTCTCTCAAAAAGAGTATGTCCGAGCCAATCAATTCAGACACGTGGGGAAGGAATCATATTTAATAAGGATTTCACCTGAAGCCCAGCTACGGGATGTTTGACCCACTACAATCTCCTCAGGGCTGATCAATAATCTACACAAGCCTCAATAATCAAAAATATCCCAAACGCATAGCTGGGTTTCTTTCTCTTGGGGGCATTTGACCACTCATGATCTGGTTTTGTCTAAGGGCTTTCTGTATTAGTTTGTTAACTATAAAGTGCAACATATTTGGCAGCCAGACCAGCTTTTCATGCTAATACCAAGAATGATGAAATTGAATGTTATTTCATACATGAATGGTGTTGGCTAATGAGGTCATGACGTATTCTGCCATTTTTTGCTTCATAAATGATTGATATCTTGGGGAAGTCCTTCTCAACGAATAGGCACTCCAATCTCTCGATGCGCAAACCTACACCTACCTTAAGAGGAAATTTTACACATAAGTTTGTAGCAATATGCTTACTAGGAAGTGTATTAACACGGTGATTATTTCTATAAATGTCTGGGATAAGTTCAGTATTGATCATATACCGTGGAGCTTTATAACTCAGTTCTATTAAAAGGAAAACACTGTCCTCCAAATTTTCAAGCACAATATTGTTGACTCAAAGGAATAATGCAACAGATCATCTTAAAGTATCAAATATCAGGCCCACAGAGAAAGGGCTACGGCGAGAAAACTAGTATACTCCTTTATGCAATTCCCCACGGTCACAAAACAAACTCAAAGTCAAACAGAATCTTAAAGCCTTTTCTCCAAAGTAATAAGCAAAAACTAATACAGAGTGACAGCATGTAATCATATTGAAAATAAAACATAAGAATGCATATAGATTGAAAAGGAATGATACCTTCACTCTTTCATCAATATTTGATAGATCAGATGCATTTGGTTCATCTAAATGCACTCCTTCTTCTTTTAAGATTTCAGCATATGGCCTCCATTTCAAATGATTTATCTCACTGATTCTCCGAACAAGTATTTCTATCTCTGATCTATATTTCTCAACCCAAGCAGCTGATGAAGCAATAACAGCAAAGTCTCCAAAAACATCAATTATGAGACCAGACAACCTGCAAAGGACTGTAAACCCGTATATGTAGAAGTTACATGCTAACTACTTCCAGGAGAAACCAAGAAAGAGATTGAAAACAGCAAGAATATCAACAGATCAGATCTGAGAAAATAGGAAATAAACATTGGTTCATAATTTTTTTCTGAAGGTTCTAATGATACAGAAACAAATAGTGATATCATCAAATTTTAGACAATTTGGTTGACCATGTATATTACATTTTAACTATGTTAGTATTTTTAATGGGTGATCAAAGACTAGCCTGAGTCAACTCGCACTTGGAGAGTCACTCGGCCTTGGCCCAAGTTTGTAGCACACAGGCAAGTTGGTAGAGTACTCTACACTGTTTAAGTATAAAATGGAGGGGTAGAAATTCGCCTCCCATTTTCATTTTTTCTTCGATTTTGGGCCCTAGAGTGTCCCCCACCCAAAAAAAAAAAAAGCCAATTTTTGCCCTCTTTAAAGCCTAGATTATTGCTTGGTCCACACATTAAAAGCATTGGATTCAAGAGAAGAAATCAGATTTCAAAGCTTTTGAGATTGAAAGTTTCAGGCTAGGGTTTGCCCGAATTCAAGAAACTTACAATTTCTTTGCATATTTGGGTGGAACCTTGAAGAACTTTGGATCGCAAGCCTATTTCTAGGCTTTTGATTCAACACCAGTTTTTTTTTTCCTCAAAAAAAAAAAAACTCTTACATTTTGCTCAATTTAAAATCTATTCATCCGAACTTTCAAGAGCTCGGTTTGCCTACACTGAACACGAAATCCAGAATTGGTTTGTGGGTTTTGATTTGAGCAGTATAAGGAAGATTTCATGAGGTATCCCAATACAAAGATTAGGATATCAGCCTTATAAATAGTTTGTAAATAACTATACAACCATATTTTCAAATTTTCATATTTTTTCCGTTTTTTCTTATTTTTCCAATATTTTAGGATTTTTTCTATTGTTTTTCAATTTTCTCATATTTCATGGTTTATATATGTTAAATTTTGTTTTTTTTTTTTAAGGTTTTTACTATTTAGGGGTTTTTCGCATTTTTTCGTATTTTTTGGGGGCCTTTTTTAGCCCTCACATTGGCTCAGCCTAGTCACCCGAGTAACTCAACTCAGCAGGGGCCGACTGTTGTACCTTCAGCACATGGTGGAGAATCAACCGAGGAGATATTTCTGTCTCAAATAAGCTCTCTACTAAGAAAAAGCCTATTGAAAACATGCCCATTAAATACTTGTCCCAAAAAGTAAACTCAATCCCTGATAACAGATAATTGACTTAGTTTTACTGCCCCAAGCACAAAGTTTCTATATTTCATTCCTGACCGTAAAGCCATCCGCAAAAGACTGACATACCAGATGTGTTTCGTATTTTCCCAGATATTACCTAAACAGAATCAGTGAAATGTCCCACTTTCACCATGTAGAGTATTAAAGCGGATTGGTTCTTCAGGTCTTTCATGGAGAGGGAGGCCAATTAGGTGGCACATATGCATGTCCAATGGGATTGTCAAGAGACGGTGAACTTGCGGTACAAAACTTTTTCCTTCTTCCATTATCAATAAAAATTACAATTTTGGGAAGTAGACTAAAATCTAATGGGATATGAAGAAATCAGTCTATTGGGTTATAGACTGTCCACTTAAACCATGTATTATAATCGAGAGTAAATGGGACCAACCATTGGGGTCATGCCCAGTTTCATAAGCCCCACTCTCACTCCATCACCATCCATTCTTCTAGAGGACGTGGACGAACATAGACTATGGTTTTTCCATAGTCCTTTCAATTATGATATTCTTCGCCAGCAATCATTTGATCTAGTAGTGGGACACCCAGTTTCTACGAGGGAGGTATAGGTTTTGAAGCTTGTCCCAGATATTAGCCACATTTACCGACTCAAAAAACAAAAAGAGAAAAAGGTCTACTACAACATGGTAGTAAATGCAGGTAATGGGTGGTACATCCCTATCCCACTTTCCGCTATATACAAAACCTTTGATATATGATTAAACCAAGATCCCTAAGTGCATAATGCAAATGCTCTTGCAAGCCTTACAGATACAAAAGATATCAATGTAACACACTTCATTGGAATTTGGAATAAGCACAGTAGGAAAATGGTTTTGCCACACTTTGCAATTTTACGTTCCCCAGGCATCATTCAAGTATTTCACTATAAGACTCATGATTTCGTACCTCACTGTAATCACAAAAAAAAACTATAGAGCTATTTATCAAAATAAATAAATAATAAATGAAATTGATAGAATTATCTCATTCAAAAGAAATTAATAGAATTATTGGCAGAGAAGATGCATGCCTGTCCCCTTCGCTATTCACAAGACGATATGCATTAGTAACTCCAGAAGGAAGCCCTATTCGCCTACGTAAATCTATAGCATCATCGATCCTTGTCTCTAGCAACTTCTCCATATTCAAAATAGAAGATGAATCTCTGCAATCCAAAAACAAGGACGTCATTCTGCTGCCTAGTAGCTTGATCGCCATTACATGAAATAGTACAAAAAGAATAAATAATAGCCACATGAAACATGTACCTTCTTGCGTCTTCTTCTAATTGCATGAGACGTACACAAAACATAGAGACTGAATTATACAAACCCCATCCAATTGGCTTTTGGGTTCCATCAGTAACAAAAACAACATCTCCTGTTGTAGGTGGAGGTCTGCCAATTATTCTATCAACCGCACCGCTATAGACCATCGGGCTTCCATCCCGAAATAACTGGGTTTTCCCTTTCTTTAAAACAACCTTAGCTATACCTGTTATAATAATTCAGTTACAAAACCTTCATCAAATGTATCGAACAGAATATCGAATTTAGCAAAGCCTACGTGATGTTTGGAGAGGGTTCACGATATGTTTTTCAATGGAAAGTACTAACTCAATGGGTGGCAATGCATGTCATTTCTCTTTTCATTTAAAAAAAAAAAGTCTATTAGATGGAATGATCATAATCACTCATGACCTCTTCAAAAAAGTACGAACATCAAGCGTACTATTGGTGCTAGCTTACTATTTAAAAGGGATAAATTACGAGAAACATTATTTGGACAACTTCTATACAAGTTGAACTGATATATTACTTAGGCACCTAGAATGACAATGTGCAATTAGTAATGCAAGGAAACCATATGTGCAATGAAAGTAATAAACCAAAAATTTATATGGTCATAAAGAGTTTCAGGACATTTGTATCCTTATATGATCATATTTCAGAAAAAACACTTAGATTCTAATATACCAGAAGAATTTAATAGGTTATATAAAGCATGCCGTGGCTAAGGCATTCTGGCGTATGTGTTCCAAAGTCATTTTCCCACAGTTGTGCATCCTGGAATCAAACAAGCAGCACTCTATTCCATGCTTTGGTAGTAAAAGATGTTGAAAGCAAGAACCAATTGGTTCTTGTATTTCTTCCAAAAAATAAATAAAATAAATAAAAATAAAAAAATTGCAATAACCAATTAAAAAGTTCTGAGAGAGGATTAAATAAAAGCCAAACCTCTGTGGTGACCCTTATATTAGCCAATCATCCATAATAGTATTAAACCCCTTTGGAACATGGTTTACATGGGCTACATGGATAGTTACATGGGGTTTAGACCAATCACATAGGGAAAGGGTCCTGTAATCTATTACCTAATGTAATTGTGATGAGCATACAGAGATAACTCTGGCAATGATATCAGTAAGCCAAGGGAGATTCATTAGGGTAAAAACAAACAGTAGACAGGGAACAAGTTCAACACAATCTCCTGAAGTCCAGATACTAGCAATGTAAAGCAAATCCCCAGTAAAATGGTCAACCAATGATACCCCAATATTAACTCACAAAAGTACCTCACAAGTTCATTTAAAGCTTCTTCAAAAAGAATATCTATTACATTTGAAGTAATCACCTGGAGGAGCCATAATGAAGGCAAAAATATAAAATACAGAACTTGTTGTTGACAAACATACTTAAGTCTCATTACTGAAACCATTTAAGAACTATGAAAGACATGTAGTGCTCCAAGCGGTTATGGGACCAAACTGACAGTCTCTTATACCGATTGACATAACTGCCTGATCCGAAGAATCAATTAGGTTGACTTTTATCACAAACTTGGTAGTCCAAACTCCAAACTCACCACTTTGTTCCCTCACATTGATGAATAGATTATGTTCCTCTCATGGATTCTTACTTTGAAACCTAAAGGACTAGGAATTTTACAACACTAGATTCATTCTACTCAGATCCCCTTCATTCCAATGATAATTCGATTGAAGAAAGAAATGGAATACAAGGGCCGTCAAAATGTAAACCGAAGCATACGTTCATTTTGCTTTCTTTTGTAACATATACTTTATAAATGCACTGGTGCAACTTGGCACACACATTAATGCAAGTCAGTTATTAAAGGAAAAATAAAAAGAGAATCACAAAAGCTAGCTTACGTTCATCACCTTTTGCTTCATCTCACGAGATCTAGAAGACTGCAAATGCACAAATGGGGTTATAAGAAATCCCCCAAACCTGGAGTCTTAAACACCAACTGCTTAAGTGTCCCAAAAGGATTCTTCAGCCTCTAGCATCATCCATTAAGAACTTCATCTTAATCACCAGGATTCAGTTTCAAGACCAGACACGCTTCTTATAGAAACAGTTCAATATAACACACATAAACATCAAATCTCTTCATTTACTGGGAGAACATAGTCAAGACTTTTAACAATAGCTTCCATGAGGGAACACCACACAGCTTTCTCAAGATTTTCTTCTATCTTCCTGGCATTAATGATTCATTAGAAAAAAGTTGGTCAATAGTTTTACACTCAACTGTAATCTAAGCTGATCACGTAGTATCTCTTAGGCTTCACCAGTCATGGGTCACTATAAAAACAAGAATTTTTCTTTTTTTTTCTTACATTTAAAGGGAAACAAAAGGGGCAACTGGGTTTTTAGCACTAAGGATTTTAATAACTATTCAACAAGTACATCTCCTCACGGGATGCTTTATTCAGATATACTTGATGAAATCAATCAATACAACTGAGCAAACACACTATAAAGGAAGCAAATGTGAGTGCAAAGTCAAAAGACAAAACACCCAAAAATCAACCACCTCTTCTTCACATACAGCAAAGTTTTTACTTTTCAAGCTTCCCTTACCTACTACTTCAAAAAGCCATATGAAACTCAGAGGCAAAGATTGCCTAAGATGCATATGCAGGGCACAATTCTCGTACCCAACCAAATGAATCAAACAGTCCTTTCACTTGCATTCAGGAAAACGCATTAGTGTATATGTATTTTGGGTGCTCAGATTCTCGAGGTATCATTTGTAAGTACAGGAGGGAGATAGATAGGCAAACAGAGAGAGAGAGGAACCTGGGTTAGAGAGAGCAGAGTCTGAGAGTGGAGAGGTGGAGAGGCGTTTCCAAGTTGTTGAAGCCGCAGCTAAGGGAAAAGGAGCAGGCGCCGAAGCGAAAGACTTCAAAAGTCGGCCCATTCTCACTCCAGACTAGAGAACCACCCGGGAATCTGTGAAACTTTTGGGAGGGAAACCTATCCATAAGTAATGGCACAAAACTTGTCAAAAGTGTTCATGTCGAAAGTTATGCGAGTACCGGAAATCTTTTATTTTTAATCGGAAAAAGTTAGTTACGACCGATGGTTTAAAAAGCGGATCGGTGCCCTAGATTAGTCACCTTAAAAGCTGATTCGGATTGATAAGTCGGTTATTCGGGTCGAAAATCAGTTGAATCGGTCAGATTAAAGTTTCAAATAATTTTGAAAAAATTATTAAAATTCATTATAACTATTGTTTTTTAGGAATTCAATAAGAAATGAGGGTACTCCATTAAGAATTTTTATTTATTTGCATGAATACGCGAATATTGATATGTTCTTTCCCTGCATGAACTACTATTTATCATTTAATTTACATCACACAAAAGGATAAACATAGAATTATCATGGAATAAGTATATCAACATACATGGACTACAATAAAGCATACAATTAGTAACATACGATCTAAAAATAAAATGACGGACGACGTCGTTCTTCTTCTTAGTTACACTGGTGCCATTGATTGAATTCGTTTGACAATTCATTGATTCGATCTAAAAACAAATCATCGATATTAGCAGGCGTCATACTATACCAAAATCCCTGAGTGTTAGTGTTCTGTTGTGTTCCCAATCCAAAATCCCCGAAGCTTGTCCATCCTTCATGCTCACCTACACTATCGTGCTCATCCCTACACTGTTGCTGTTGGGACTCGATATGTGAATAATATGGCAGGGATAGGGTGGCCTCAGAATCATCATATCTCTCATTTTCCCTTAAATCCCCTTCTCACTCTCCCTCATTAAGTGCAATATCACCGACATCTCCGACGAATTGTGGATACATTGGCTGGCTGCTTCCTCTTTCATGCTGCTCATCACCTTCTTCAATATCTTCCTCACCGATAGCCTCAAGAAACGCTCTATTGTGCAACATTAGCTCCTCCTCTTCTACTACCCATTGGTCTATTGTGTCAGTGACAAATATTGTGTCTAAGTCTATCGGCCCATAGTCTTCAAGCTTCCTTTTTATTTGTCGCTTTCGGAGGTTTAAGTTATAATGAACGTAGACTAGTTTATAAAGTTTCTCCGAAGCGAGTCGATTCCTCTTAGTAGTGTGCAACCATTGGAACGTACTCCAGTTGCGCTCACAGCTAGTAGCAGAATATGTTTGGGAGAACACCTTGATTGCTATCCTCTTTAGGTGAGGTGCATCAATATCATATATCTCCCACAATTCAGTTGGAATTAAA